CTAAAATAAAACCTTAATACATTTTTATTGCTAACTTTTAGCTAGAGAAAAAATCTTACCGATATTACTTAATTATGCTAATATGGGGCCTATAATATCTCTATCTCTACTCTAAACTATTATGTTGTAGAAAGAAACCATGGAAGCCTTTTGAGAGAAGTTAGGTAAGGCGAGACTTTTTCCAATATTTCTGTCCAAACACCTGTTAATTTCTGACCATGGTGCATGTCTACATGTGGGTACGTGTGTCACAGCCGTACTGATCAATGTTCAAAGATGTGAGTGTTTAGACAGCTTAAAACAACTACATAAAGCATCTTTAGAAAAGGCAGTTTCACATCTGAATACATTTAAGAAGCCTGAAGAAAAATGTTTGTTCCTGTCCGTCAAGCCTGTATTGTTCTAGCTAAATGATTTCTAAGAAATAAAGTGCTGAGGTATGTTTCCCCACTATTTTGTGCATTTGAAAAGTGGTGACTGAGGGTGTTAAAATACCTGGCGCAAAGTGTTTTCAAAGTGGTAAATTGGTCTGACTCATTCAGCTTGTAAAATGCTAAGCACCACACTGTAGTGGTTGGACCAGCCAGAGCCAGACACTCAGCCACTCAAACGGACCCAAAGTTGACGGAAAGGTGAAGCCAAAAGCTGAAACTTCAGTTGGGTGGTTGGGTGGACCAACATAAGGTGGGTCACATAAGGATTCCAGGTGCACTTCAACTAAACACTGTGTTGGCATAAACAAACATGAAAACTGTCAGAAACACTGGTGCTACTCCAACACAAAAACAGAGACATTTGTCCGACAGCAATTCTTATTAGGTTTGGAGAGAGCTGACGATAACGTCCTGCTGAGATCAGAAAACACTGTCAAGGACACCCACAGAAGTGTTGGCAGCTGGAAAAAAAACACACGCAAATCTGCCAGGACTTTTAACCTTCATGCAAAATACAAACTGTGACAGTGCGATGAGTGGAATTTGAACAAATCCTACATTTAATGCCCGTTTCCCGAGTCCTACAACCTAGCATTTGATGTGTGCCTGGGGGTGTTGAAAAATATATGTTGTTGGTTTGGCTGGTAGATTCTACTTCTGCAAAGTTCATAAATATCAAATTCTGTTGTGGCTTTCAAAGGACAAGGAGTAAAAAGCATCTAGGGAATGGTTTCTGAAGGTTCAAAAACTATCTGCTGTTTATTTAGTAGCTGTTCTGGTGTCGCAACAAATGTTGTTTTTACCCAGAAAGAAAAAATACTAAACCTTTAAAACAAAATGCAGATGTTTCATTTATAACAGATAGATAGATAGATAGATAGATAGATGGATGGATGGATGGATGGATGGATGGATGGATGGATGGATGGATGGATGGATGGATGGATGGATGGATGGATGGATGGATGGATGGATGGATGGATGGATGGATGGATGGATGGATGGATGGATGGATGGATGGATGGATGGATGGATGGATGGATAGATAGATAGACAGATAGATAGATAAGTAGTTCACTTTCCTTTCCTTTCCCCTTTCCTTTGATTGGATCATCTGACATATCATGGATAAAGTGAAGTGAGTGTCTGAGGTGACGCAAATAAAATTGATAATAAACAATGTCAGGCGGCATTGCGCTGCAGCATCCAATCAGTTTATCCTTATTTCACTTCCCTGAAATAGGCAGAGAAGTGAATGAAAAAATGGCAGAAAAGTTAATCATCGATGTATGTGGACACTAACACCGCTGCTACATTTTAGTCCAGGTGTCGTTGGAAGCGGGTTGAACAGGTATGGTACAGTATGTCAAGGAACCATTTCATGTCTTATTGCACTAGGGATAATATTTTGAGCATCTCAGAGTCAGAATCCTGGTAAAAACATTATACAAACATTATAACGATGAATATAATCAATATATGATATTGAATATACTGTAGTATGAATATATGATATTCATTTGGAACTAATCTGCTAATCTGTTAAACTGTACTGTACTTCCACTATCTTCACCGCCAACATATCCACTCAGTACAACTTCAAACATCTAAACCTGAGCTGTTTGTCCAATCTCCAGTCTTTACTTCAAATCCTGTCCAATTCCTGTCAACCTCCAATGATCAACTCAACATCTCCAGCCATGTCTGCTGTTTTAAAAACTCTCAGTCATAGCAGATCTCAGTACCATCTCATCCACCATCTGCAGGTATTGGTTACAGATTAAATGAAACAAATGTCAGATTAGGGCTAGATTATATCAGTTAATGAATTGAAGATGTGAATGGAATCGTTTTTTCCTTCCGACCGTCTGGACTGTCAAGTTTACTCATCCATTTTTGATAAGCCTATGTTCACCTCCACCCCCCGCCCCCTTCACTCAGTCTTCCCTGATCCAATCCCCTGTCCTCTCCTCACCCACTCCCCCTGCTTGACGTCTCCCTTTTCCCCAAACACCTGTCACATGTCACCTCGTCATCCTCTGTCGATGCTCTTCATTCTCACCTGCATTGACAGAGTATCTCTTCCTTTAAGTTTCCTCTCACACTCACACACACACACACACCCGTGTACCTGTGATGTTCTCATATATCACGTATGAAGTGGGAGCAGTAACATGAGCAAACGCAGCAGGGAGACAGGTTTTGTTCGGCAGATGGATTGATGGGGGCTCAGTGGACGTCTAACTCAGTTTACTCTCATGTATAATGAAGGACGCAACATTGTTTGGCTGATTCTAATCAGAGTGGCCATCCTGTTGTTGAATAATAAAACGAGCAGGGCAAAATGACAACGTCAGAGGGACACCTGCTGATCAGAGCGCAGACTGCAATCATCACAAGTGTCCACTCAACTGCACCTCAGTACCAGTACTATCATACAGTCCCCACAGGGGTTTGTTTAGCTTTTCTTCGGCCTTTTCAAATCCTGTAAATAAGAACCCATGTGCCCAAACACAACAGCGTGTCATCTGCTGCTGCAGAGAGGATTTAAAGGAAGAATGTGCGGCACGCCAGGTTAGCATATTGAGCTATTTATAGAAGGAGAGCAAGGGGAGCCGACTGATGATGCAGCATGTGCAGAGCTTCAGTAACATCCCCCAAATATTTGCCAGCCTCAGGTTTACATCGATTGTTGTTTTCACCGACAGGAGGAAATAATGGAGCTGGCAGCAACACCCTGAAGGCTCTAGTAGAAAAAGAGTTTCACATTGGACTTTTTGTTTGGCTGACAGGAGAGGGAGACCGTCCCTAATCTACAATGTTATTCGTAGTACTGGGTGTTTTAAGTAGCAGCTTAAGAAAAAATGCTAAATTGAAGCTTACTGCTAAATGCTGCATTTTACCAAGTTGTTTCTAAGTGCACAACAAGTGCTTTTCTATAACAATTAAAGCCTTTAGGAAATATTTGTTTAAAAACTTTCAGGTGTCCTTTGAATTTCAAGTTTTAGAGGGCACAAAAAAAAAAAACGCGCGCACACACGAAATCATATCTACACTTGATACAGGATTGGGAAAAATGATTGACGTTACAATGATACCAGTGTTAAAATAACACAGTCATAACTTAAAAGTTTAAACCTAAAGTTTAGGAAATTAACTTTAAGTCTTCAAGTAAACATAGTTAAAAGGTATCAAAAAATAAACAAGCCAGTTTTTAACGAGACAGTTTTAACGAAACCAGTTCAACATTAGCAGTATGCAAAGATGTGCACTGTTAGCATGCTACTATCACATTTGGTATTTGTTCACTGACGTGTGCAATGATGGAAATAATATGTAGATAAATATAAATAGAAGAGACTTAGTAATTATAGCAAAAGTTAGCCATAACTAAAACAGCGACCACACGAGGAAAGGGTTAGCAAACTAGACTAGCATTAGCAAAGTAGGACTGTGGGTGTAAAGCCAGTGTCCTACTTTTCAGGTTTGTGTTCCTGATATAGCTATAAATATATTTGTGGGAGCTTTTTTACTTTGTGAGGTCATGGAGTCGCCCACTGAATGACTGGGTATTTTGATTTGGTTCTAGTTTGAAGTGAGGATTCGGGATAGGATTAGTCAGGATTAGACATATATTTGTAATAGTTATCTTTTGGGTAAAGTGCTACAGAGCCAGAAAACACAGTGTGTGTGTTGTGAGGACACTTTGTCACTGCTAGGGCATGAATCATGTCTATGCACAGTCCTTAAAACTCATGAAAACCAGACTATGTGTGTGTTCCTGGTATAACTGTACTGTACATATACTTAGGGGGGATTTTTCTGGAAAAGTATGAAGCATGTGAAGCCTATATGTAACTTCTGTAAACTGTTGAGCTCATAAGAACACAATGTTCTAGTGGTCATGACATGGCCATTAATCTAACCAGGGTTCTTTGTTCCCTGAGTGGAGTGCAGTGTAGATGTTGTCTTGCAGCATGTGCAAACTCCTTATACCTGTCTGTGTGTAGGACTTGTGTTCAACCTAAAGCTGTGACATCTAAAATCCTCTAAAATACATTGTGACTAACGAAGCTGCTTAATCTGCTGCTGCTGCTGAGCATGTTAAAAGATGCAAACAGATAATTAGTCCTAGTGTTGTCAGTCAGTGACATGTGAGGTCAATCTTCTGGGATCACATCTATGCCAATTCAGTTATGGAGTAAAATAGCCAAAAGCTTCAAGCACCAGAAACATAGCTGCAGCAGAGGGTTAATAGTTAACAGGTGAACTCTGTGGGCCCAAATACTTTCCTTATTATTTCTTCCAACAAGACTTCTTGACACTTTGAAACCACTACTGAATACAGACAGGAGGTCAATTTGTTTTTATATTTCTAGCCAAGGGGGTATCATTGATTATTTATCCCAACTATGAATTTAATCAGTGTCAATGTTATGGCTTTTATCTGATGTTATGCCACAAAAACAGGAAAATATTGTTGCTCTCTGCTACAGAAACAACAAAATTGATCAGAGTCCCAGTCGGAAAATGTCAATACATCCATAAATAGAACCTGTTGCATTGTCATGCTGCAACCTGAGCCTTTCTGGAATCATTAGCTTCATGCTAAGTGTGTTCAGATTATTTGTAGGTCTAAATATTCTGGGAGATCACACGTAATTACAAGTTATGGCTGCAAATGCTTGGAGTTAAAATATTAGAGCTGACAAAAAAGAAACCAATTATTTTGGATTGACATTCATTCTGGTAAATGTCACTTGTAATATATTTGACAAAGAGACAGGGTCTCTCGGAATGAAAAACCCCTGCATTCCCACTATGATCCAAGCTCCAGTAATGATTTCATATTTATAGCTCGCTGTGTTACTCACATTTTCCATTTCATCTCTTCTCCTTTTCTTTTTATTTCTAATTACTATTAGTGTGTCGTTATCCCTAATAGCCACTGCTCTGGCACATTTCCCCTCAGTTAGACTCACATTAACATTGTCAGCACGTCCACAGGGTTATCTGCACTTTTACACCTTCACTCTTTGTGCTTTTTTAATCCTGTCACACACTGACTAGAGCAACATGAGGAGCTAGCTGTCATTCAACTAAAGGACCTGAGGCTAGCAGAGCAGCCCTTTATGATACTGGCTTTTCTTTAAACACACGGGGCTGATGGGAGTCCGTGGAGCTCGTCCTTCTGTACCGTCTCCTCCTCGTCCTCACTCTTATACCAACAATTTTTAACATCCTCTTGACTACTTCCTTGAATCTTCCGTTGTCTAACCATATTTATCTCCAAACTCGTTGTCTTTGTGCTGCTGATCATTTCCAAACCCATCATTCTTGGTCTAATTCCAATGAATATCTTTAATCTCGAGACTGATTACAAAGACTTCAAAGTCCAGAACAGAAACAGACCTGATCGAGAACTGTGACTTTCCAGTGTCCCATCTCTAATTCACCAACGCGTGTTCGCTCTTGTTCTTCCACTGACTTCCATTCTTCTTCTTCTCTATTGCAGACCTCCATCATCGCCTGACTCCCGCCTGACCTCATCTGTCAGCCTGTCCATCACCATTGCAAACAAGAAGGGCTCTCAGAACTGACGCCTGATGTAATGTCACGCATACGCTGAACCCATCTGCCATTTGGACTGCACGCATACCTCCCTCTCATTTATCATTGTTTCTTTATCCTTCAACAACTACTTACATAAGATTTAATATATCTTCAAATCCAAACATTCTGGCCAACAAGACCCTCGCCATTTACATGTGTCATGTCTCTGCAACAGAACAAAGAGGACACTCCTCCCCTGTGACCGGGCGTATGTGTATTGCTGTGTGATCCAAGAATATATTCTATATGTGGAACATTTCTGGAAATTAACCAGTGGTCAAATTAGACTTAGGTTGAAGATTAGCCTTATATTTGTAATAGTAGGGGGGATGGTGAGGGGATGGGAAGTGTTCACAGAACACCAAATCCTCTGTGTGTGTGTGTTAAAACATAATAATTATTATAATAATAATAACAATTCAGCCCCTTATTCATCCCACATAGAGGCTGCCACAAGAGGCGCCATTAGGGAAGCAAACCCTGTACTCCCTGCTCTTTGCTTGCAAAGCAGGCATGCTAACTGCTATGGAACCACTCGTGTAAAAATGAATTAACGTACTGTGAAATGGAAGCAATTTCATCTTGCTGTGCAAATGGAGGTCATTCAGAAAAATGAAGTGGACCTAAAACAGTCCAAAAATAGTTACATCGAGGGCAACTGGACGGAGTAGGTTTCTTGAAGATGTTTCACCTTTCATCCATCTTCAGTTCTGACTGACTACTGGGTTGTTCTGGTATTTAGCCTCAAAGGGGCTGACATACCCGTAATGAGGGTCATTGCAGAGAGCCATATACTAATGAGGGGGGATGGAGGTGTAGTGGACCTCTTGGATGAGAGGTGAAACGTCTTCAAGAAACCTACTCCATCCAGTTGCCCTGGATGTAACAATTTTCAGATAACATGACCTGCATGACTGAGTACCTACACAGACCTAAAACAGGTCTTCTCTCCTTGTGGTCCTGCTGTCCTATACTTCCTGTCTCACACTCTGAGGTGTCCTGAAGTGTTGAGATAAGTGGGAAAAGCCTACGAAGAAAGTTAAAATTTATAATTCCCTCACCCATTTCTCCCCCTTCCTGTTGTCCCCCCTCTGTTTCCATTTCCTCCCTCACCGTCCCTCTCCTGTCCATGAATTAACATCTTTATGTGTGTCATGTGTGTGTCCCCACAGAGCAGTGCGAGCATTCGGAGAGAACCTGTCCCACTCTGAAAACCAAAACGGATCAGGTCAGCGTCTCTGTCGTGCTGTCATTTCTCCAGCCCTCTCTGCTGTTCTACATATTCCTTTGTGGTCTTTAATCCCTTCTTCCACTGCTATTCTCCTCTGAAAACACAGGCTGGGATCATTAGTGTGTACTACAATGGCTGATACCCACACAAAGATGATTATGTGTCTCTCATTTTCTCCTTCTTCTTCCTCTTCTTCTCTGCTAGCTCCCCTCACTAGCTCCCTGACTCTGGGTTTGTTTTATCTCTCCAACGTTTCAGCTCATCTCCTGTGTGAAACCTTGGTGGGTCCTGACCCTGAGTCACCGAGTGACAAGGTTAGCTCCAACAACAACAACCACCGCCGCCATCCCGGCACCAGCATCTCAAAGAGTTGTAAGACCAATCCAGAAGCCAGTCTGGTGAAACAGCCTGAGGGCCTGCTCCAGGCACCGCCTCCCGCCATCACCATTTCCACCAAACCTCCGCTCTCTCTTGAGCGCAGCTTCTCAGCGGAGGAGGACCAGCTGAAGGGTGTGGAGTGCACCCTGCAGCCTGCCCGCGTCTACACCATCACTCCCCAGCACGGTATGCTGATGAGCAGTGGTCGGGGCAGTAAGGAGAGCTTAGAACTGGACGTCCTAAAGGAGAAGCCAGGGAGTGGTGGGGTGGGAACCAGAGGAGGTTTGATGCTGCCTTCCGCATCCCCTTCATCCACCTCCTCGTCTCAAACTCAGTACCACCATGCGAGCAGCAGCAGCAGCAGCACCAGCCGGGGGGGCCCCCGCCGGGGGGGCACGACAC